CTGGGTAGGGGGGGATCAGTGGGGTGGGGGATGGGGTGACGTGGCTCCGGCGTGGGTAGGGGGGGATCAGTGGGGTGGGGGACGGGTGACGGGGCTCCGGCTGGGTAGGGGGGGATCAGTGGGGTGGGGGATGGGTGACGGGGCTCCGGCTGGGGTGACGGGGCTTTCTGTGTAAAGCACTGACCCTGGTGATGGGAATGAGCCCATTACAGAACGTGGGTGCCACACAGTCATGGGGGCTGGCACGCAGCTGAGACCCAGCATGTTCAACCGCAGGGTCCCACTCCCCGTTAGCACCGCTTCACAGAGGGAAAGGCACCGACCCTCGATGATTGCGCTGGGTACAGCACCACAGGCGCTGAATCCATGGGTGCTCCTGCCCCGGAGCACCCATGGGAAAAAAAGAGTGGGTGCTCAGCACCCACCGGCGCCCCCTCCGATCAGCTCCCCCCCAGTGCCTCCCTCTCGGCACAGATCACCTGTTCAGCTGCCTGCAGGAGGCATTGGGTGGGGGGCGGGGAGCAGGGGCAGGAAGAGGCAGGGCAGGGTGGGGCCTTGGGGGGAAGGGGCAGGGTGGGGGTGGGGCCTTGGAGCAAGGGTCGAGGCCCCCCAGGGAAACCAGAAAGTCGGCGCCTCTGTCCAGCGCTCCAAGAATGTGCAGTGGAGATTAAACGCGTCGGGGGCAAAGAGAGCGTGGTGGCCGACGCCCTGGCCAGGCAAGAGGGCCGAGGCCTGCAGAGCGGTCAGTCACTGACCCTACTGCCTCAGGGTCAGGGGGCGGAGGGGCACAGACATGCCTAGGCAGGTACATTACCTGTGTCCGAACATCCTGCAGGGGGTCACGTGGGGATGGTCTCCACCGAAAGCTGAGAACTAGCCGCTTGTTGTGGGTATGGCAGGTTTGTAGGGGAAACCCCTTTAGAGCCACGTACCGTGGACTACAGGGTTCCCAAACCATTGGAGGCGCGCAGCCCACGCTGAGAACAGGTGCCAGGCCTCAGCCCGGCCCAGCCCGGGGTTTCCAGGTGGAGCCAGATGCAGGCCGGAGCTCTAACAAAGCTAGAAGAACCCCGGGGCAGGATGCTGAACAGGGGCCCTCCGGACCGAGCCGTTCACAAGCAGCCCTGATTGTGACAGGGCACAAGCTGTTATCCAGTACGGGGGGCACTGTGCCAGGGGTCCCCGCGCTCTGGCCTGGACAAGCGCTGGACACGCTGACCACGGGGGATGGGACTTGTCAATCAGTACAGGCTCCAGGCTACATTGGATGGTTTGCTTTCACCTGTGACCTCATGTTCCCCACCCGTTTCCTGGCTGGTGTTTGGATTGTCACCTCGCGGTTTGTTTGAGTGCTGGGTGCCACGGAGAGGGCTGAACTGAGGTGCAGCCGGTGACCTGGGAGCTCTGCTCCCTCGGCAGCAGCGGCTCTGCGTGTGGCATGTGTCCAGAAGTCAAGTCAGTGGACTCTGGCGTGTCAGGCAGTGGGGCACACAGCCAGGTTGGAGGACCTGTGCCCCGGGGCCAGAGCAGCTAACTGTCTCCACTGACTTAGCCACAGGCTAACTCTGCTCTGCCCCAGGCTCTCGTGGGGAGCCTGAGGAGGGGGGTGGGAATTGCCGGCTTGCGGAAGGAAGGAGCGGGCCTTGCAGAGCCCAGGGGGGTGTTTGGGCTGCCATGGCAGTAGTTTGGGGCGAGTTTCCCCCAGTGGGCACAGACACGTCTCTCTCGTGTTGTAAGCAGGTGGTAGTGATTCACCCTGTACCCCTCGGGTAACCCCAAAAGTGGCACAGTTCCCACCCCCCGGGGGGCAGGGGAGGAAAACCAGACACGTTTCATTTGGGAATTTTGGCAAAAATTGGAACATTTTGAACAGGCAAAACTGTGGTTTTGAACTAGGTGATTTACAGGGCGAGGGAGTCAGCCCCCGTCCCAGCTCTGGGCCCGGGAATCCCTGCAGGAAGCGGGCTGGGGCCAGTGGGACAGGCAGGTCCTTCCCATCGCTGATAGGGGCAAGTGTAAGTGAACAGAACCTGCCCTCCCTGCTCTGCTGTGGGGCTCCTACCCCAGCTCTTCCTGCCCTCCCCATGGAGGTGCTACGGGGAATAGAACCAGACTTACCGAGCCCAGGGCAGCACCAGGACCATGAGCCTCTGCATGGCCAGGCACCTACATGGGTCCTGGGCCCCTCCAGCCACGAGGAGGAAACTCTCCGGGATGGAACAGGCGAGAATGGGGGCCGGTCCCTACGCTTGGGTCATATGATCCCCGTGGGGACAGGTCCTGGAGAAGACACTTCTGGGGTAGAGCTGACTGGCGTCTTTCCCCCCCAGGTGATCAGCACCCCGGAAATAGGGCCCAGGGAGGTACAGGACTGGCCCACGTCACACGGGAAATCCATGGCAGCCACGGATACAGAACCCACATCCCCTGAAAGCCAGGCCAGGCGCCTGCCTGAACGGCTCCTCCGAGGGAGCGGGGCTGGCACCAGGCAGGGGGAGAAATGGAGACGAGCACATTGAGACGCACGGAACAGCCTGCTGCAGAGAGTTTATTATCAGCCCAGGACACCACGATCGCCGAGGAGACAAGGGGTGGGGTGCGGCAAGCGAGACTGACCCAGAGACCCCGGGGGAGAAGGGTCTTTGCAGCTGGGGCCATGGGCGCTGCTGTCCTGGGGGATCAGGGGATGGCCCCTCCATGCACTCACGTGGCCGGGATGTGGCTGTAACACCGTGGCTGCCCCCTGCCCACGGTGCAGAGCCCCCTGCCGCTCAGCCCGGTCACTCCCCCGGCTGGCGTTGGTACTTGCAGATGAAGGAGTTTTCAAAGTCACAGGGCTTAGCCTTCCACTTCAGGAAACCTGCAAGGAAAACAAGTGACCCGGGAGTGGGGCAGGCTGGGCCATTGCTGTACATACAGTGGCCTCTCTCCCTGCCTGTCCCGTGCCCCTCGGAGAAGATCCCAGCTCCTGCGTGGCCCCGAGGAAGAGGAGGGTGGGATGGAGCCCTGAGCGCCCCAGTCTGAGACAGGCCCAGAGAGACGCTGTGGCCCAGATTGGCCGTATCGGCTGAGGGCTGGACACTGGAGCCGAGTTAATGGGAAAGCCAGTGTTGGAGACGAGATCCCAACCCCAGATCGGTTGTCAAAGGGTCGCAAATCCCTGAGAGGAACCAACAACTCAGGGAGGCTGAACCAGCCTCATTCATGGTTGACAGGTTTTGTGCAGCACCAGGGGATGTTTATGCATTATTTCATGATCTAATTGGCCTAGATGCAGCATGTAGATGTGGGTAGTTTGGCTATGGGCTGGTGTAATTGTGCCCCCAGTAATATGTACATTTCCAGCAAAACCCCTCATACACAGTGCACCCAATTGTCCACCCCTTGCCATAGGCCATTGATCCTGCTTCTCCAGTCATAGGAGAGGGGCACATCCAGACATCTTCTCTGGATTTACACCATTTTACACACCCCTCCATTGATTCCCAGTGAGCTCCTCCCCTTCTCGTTATTCCCATAGGGCTTGTGGGGCCCACCTTAGTTGCCGTTCCATTTCCAGGTACCGTGGTAGCTATTCCACAGGTGCTGGCCTCCTAGCTGAGCATTTTGCATTCCTGTACATCCCCCACCCACGTCATGCTAGCAACAAGACAAACACCACAGACAAACACAAAACCTAGATTCATGGTATTCTGGGTTATTTTTCCGCTGGCGCCAGCATGCTTGTAGAGTGTCTGAAAAACAAAAGAAACAATTTCCACCCCCCTGGTGGGGACAGATTATTGCTTAATAACAACAATTCCTTTTACAAATTTCCTTGCTAATTGCAAGAAAAACAGAAGAATTACCTCCAGGCGGTCCTTATTTTGTTCTATAGTCAGGCTAGTGAATTACCCCACTCACTGGTCATTTATGAGGTGGTGTGCCTCAGTTTCCCCGCTTGTACAACAGACCAGGTTTTCATAGTTTCTTTGCTGTACCAAGCTTTAAGTTTATTCTCAGGTAATAGCTGAGAGACAGCTTCAGATTTCTGCTCTATGCACAACCCCCCCCCCTTTAGGGTTAACCTGTCCCCCTTATTTTCAGGCTTGACTTGTTTTTTCACCTCCCTTTCCTGGAGGGCCATAAATTGAGTCTTCTAGTAGCTTGTTTGCTGACGGGATGTATTCATTATTTGCAGATTCTTTGTGCTGCTACTTATGGGCAGTTTCCTCCTTTCCCCATCAACTAGGTAATTTGCATTTACACAGAGGCTTTCTTGGCTCGCCTCTGGATCCAACACTTTCAGCAGCTCAGAGACTGTCTTAAAAGGGACACATTCCACTTCCACCAGAGTTCTCATTACTTGTCACTTTCATCTCCTGCTCCAAAACGCACAGGGTTCTGAAAAAGAAAGCACAATCTTCTATGGCTCCTTTTGGAGCCCTAATAGGATTTTAATTAAGTACCATGTTTTGTTTGCATTTTTTTTTACCCCTTTTCCAATATACACTGCACATGTCCTGGGAAATAGCTTAACCTCCATAAGATTATATTAGCCATATTAAGTTTACACAAGGTGTAACTGCCTCCCCCGTGCCCACAGAGTTTTCATGCACCCCCAAAGCGACAGTCCGATCCCCCAGAGCCACCCCAAGGCTCAGTGTCCCCATCATTGCTCCCCTTTTCCTTTTCTTTTTCCTGTGCACACACAAAACTATCTTTTGCCTAACATCCCTTGCACTGTGACTACTTTTTTTTTTTTTTACACACAACTGTACCCTGATTACACTCCCATCTTGTACAACCAGAGACAGCCAGGGGCAGTCAAGTTAAGTTCCAATAGAAACCCCTGACATTCCTTTAGTGATTTTGATCACATTACCCAATAGTTAAATCATTTTGATTAGATTATTCCTCCGCCTGCTGCCTGCAGCAGTCCCCTATAGACCATTTCTGTGGGAAAAGGGCCCATTTCCCCTCAGAATAGCTGTAAAGGCTTCTGGGGACAGAAGCATCGTGGTGGTAGTGGCCACTCTTCCTGACCCCCTGGTATAATTCAATTACCAAGCTTCCATCCAATGTGACTGCACAGAAATGCAACTGAGTTTGATTATTAAACCAAAAACTTGTTTCTTGTAACACCACAACTGTTACCTGTACCATTTTCACAACTCCCAAAGGTTTACTTTCCTCCAAACCCTGTATTATCACTTTTTGCAAAAGGTATTTGTAACTTTTCACTTCTTTAAATCTCTTACTCCTACAGTTCGTTTTTGAAGGTCGTGTGGTTTGTCTTTAGCAACTCAGCCGCCGAGTACAATTATTACCACACAGCCGCCTTAACCTGTGCTGTCTTTACCTTGAGACTGTTCAAAGGGCAGTAAAACATTTGTCTCCATGGCTGCCCCTGGATCTGTTACTCCAAAAATTCCAGTGGAATACAGCAGACCTCCGTCGTACTTTGTCCCAAACAAAACAAAACACAAAACATTTCACATAAGTATCCAAAGTCCCCTCCATTAAAACTTCAGAAAAACGAAAGTGTGGAAAGGCAGGGGGAGGAGGGGGAAGAGGTGGAAAGAAACCAATGAAGCCTGTCAGGTCAGTTTAAAGTACAGGCTCCCAGCAGCAAATTAAGTAAACGGAGAGAAAGAAGAAGGAGAAGAAGAAAAGGATATAGTTCGCTCTGAACCAAGAGTAGGCTCCCCGGGTTGAAACAGTTGGGAACCCTTCCCCCCGGTTCTCATCCTACTTCTCAGCCTGGCTCTGGGAGAAGAATGGGGGTTGTTACCTGCTCCTGCAAACCCTGCCATTTTCCACTCCCCTTCCCCAGGACCAAGTCCCAGCTCCTGTCTCTAAAGGTGGTCTGTTAACTCTGCTTCTGATTTTAAACCCTGTTGTGCCAAATTATATTTAACCACCGCTAACTACTTTACAACCATTCAGCAGCCCTTGCTGAAACTTGAAAGATTACTGGCAGCTTCCCATAATGCTGCCCTTACTTCAAACCTCTCACAAGTGGGCTGAAGTGCCTCCTTTCCCTGGAAGGCATCCAGTCCCCATGGGCAGGGACCTTCTTCCACTACCCAGATACCAAAGGAGGGGGGGCTCCTCATCCACCCCCATCCCTCTGGGTCCTCCAACCTTCCTCCATTTCCTTTTTAATCTCATCCCAGGCCGACCCCTGCACCTGGTATTGGCCCTGGTTCTTCCTTATCCATTTATCCTAAAAATCCTTTACCCTGGCTTGCCAGAACCCGCAACTACCATCGCGAGAGTTCGCTATATCCCCTCCAAGCAGCTGCGCGGACTGTTGGGGAGGGGGACTTACAGGCTGCCACTCACCTATCCAATACGATGCATCCGAGTCACCGGCACCAAGATGTTAGGGGGCTTATTCCTTCACCCTCTCACTTCCCTGGTCCTTCTCGCATGAACAGAGAGCAACAATACCCAAAGTCCAAAGGCGCAAACAATTCGATGTTTATTGGGGTGAACTTCCAGCAAGCATGATTCTAGGGTTACCATATTTCAGCAAGCAAAAAAGAGGACGGGAGGAGCCCCGCCCCGTCCTGCCCTAGCCCCCCCCATCCTGCCCTAGCCCCGCCCCTGCTCCTCCCACTTCCCCCCCTCAGAACCCCCAACCCTCCCCCCGCTCCTTGTCCCCTGACTGCCCCTCCTGGGACCCCTGCGCCTAACTGCCCTCCAGAACCCCACCCCCTACCTAACGCCTCCCTGTTCCTTGTGCCCTAACTGCCCCCTCCTAAGACCCCCCCCAAACTGCCCCCCAGGACCCTACCCCCTACCTGTACCCTGACTGCCCAAAA